CAGGCATGGCGACACATGCCTGTAGTCCCAGCTACTTGGGAGGAGGCCGAGGCAGGAGGATCGCTCGAGGCCAGGAGTTGGAGGCCAGCCTGAGCAAGAGCGAGACCCCGTCTCTATTAAAAATAGAAAGAAATGAATTGGCCAAGTAAAAATATTATATAGAAAAAACGAGCCGGGCGTGGTGGCGCATGCCTGTCGTCCCAGCTACTCGGGAGGGAGGCTGAGATGGGAGGCTCGCTCGAGGCCAGGAGGTGGAGGCTGCTGTGAGCGAGGCTGACGCCACGGCACTCACTCTGGCCCGGGCGACAGAGCGGGACTCTGTGTCAAACAATACCCCGGGCTTCCTGTGGTTTATTTGTAACCTCTGCCCCGGCGATCATTTAAGTCCAGGATGGCAATCCACAGTGAGGCCGCCTTCCTCGAGGCCGGGCCTCCACGAGGCCGGGGCTCCGCCTGGTCGCTCGTGCGTCAGGGGTGCTTGTTTTTCCCTCTGTGTCATCGCAGGAGCCTCAGTGTCCCCTGGAAGGGGGACGCATAGACGGCCCAGGCGGCCCCGCCGGGGCCCGCGGCTGCCCGGGAGGCCGGGTCTGGGGTGGAGGCCGGGTGTCGCCTCCGCGACCCACGACAGTCACCTGGGGGTGGCAGTTTGTCCAGATCCCGCTGCTGCAGGTGAGAGCCGGGCACGGGGCGGGGCCTCGAGGTTGTCCTGGCCGGGCGTGGGTGGGACAGGCCATACAGCCTCCCGGCCTCCCATGCCGGCCTCCACCCTCCCGATCTCAGCCCGCCCGGTCCCTGATCCCCCTGGTTGCTCCATATCCGCCACCCGACCCCTGTCACCTTGCATCCGCGTAAGCTTGGTCCCCGAGGCCACGAGTCACCTCGTGTCTGGCCTCCTCTGTGACACGTTCGGTCTCGGCCTCCTCTCTGAGGCCAAACTGCCCCGAGGTCCCCACCCCGGCCCTGGGGACCCTCCTGGGGGACTGTCCCCAGCAGGAAAGGAGGGGGGTCGTTGGAGGCTGACATGGCCTCTACTCCCCGGCCTCTACCTACTTCTCCGGCCTCGGCCCCGGGGGGGAGGGGCTATTCTGGGCCTCGAGGAGGCCGCTGGTCTCTGCGGACGGCTGCCGGCCCCCCAGCCGCTGCGGCCTCTGCACGAGCTTGCCTTTGGAGACAGGGTCTCGCTCTGTCGCCTGGGCTGGAGTGAGCGCCGTGGCGTCAGCCTCGCTCACAGCAGCCTCCAGCTCCTGGCCTCCAGCGAGCCTCCCGCCTCAGCCTCCCTCCCGGGTAGCTGGGACTACAGGCATGCGCCACCACGCCCGGCTCAGTTTTTCTATATACTTTTAGTTGTTTGGCTAATTTCTTCCTATTTTTAGTAGAGACGGGGTCTCGCTCTTGCTCAGGCTGGTCTCAAATGTCTGACCTCGAGCGAGCCTCCTGCCTCGGCCTCCCTCCTGAGTAGCTGGGACTACAGGCATGCGCCACCACGCCCGGCTCATTTTTTCTCTATATTTTTAGTCTTCCAGCTCATTTCTTTCTATTTTTTTTTAGTAGAGACGGGGTCTCGCTCTTGCTCAGGCTGGCCTCCAACTCCTGGCCTCGAGCGAGCCTCCCGCCTCAGCCTCCCTCCCGAGTAGCTGGGACCACAGGCGTGCGCCTCCACGCCCGGCTCATTTTTTGTAGATATTTTATTTGGTCTCTAAATTTGTTTGTATTTTTTTAGTAGAGACGGGGTCCCGCTCTTGCTCAGGCCGGCCTCCAACTCCTGGCCTCGAGCGATCCTCCCGCCTCAGCCTCCCAGAGTGCTGGGACCACGGGCTCTTTTTAAGCAAGACGAGTCGGGGGCGTCTTGCGCCTGTCGTGTGTTGCCTTGGTGGCCCCGTGCTCGCCGTGTCCCTCCTTGGGGACCTACGATGACGGTGGCCGTCCTCCTCCTCCTCCCCCTGCCGGGCAAGACCCGAGGGCCGTGCCGTCCCCGAGCCCCCGGGCTTGGGGACAAGGGGACACTTCGGGGGCTCCTTCCTTGGCGACGGTTCGTCCCTTCCTCGCCCCAGGACGCAAGTTCGGGGTTCAAGGCCACCGAGAATCGGAGGCCGGGGCAGGAGGCCAGGGCCTCTCCCCTCTCTCTCTCTCTCCTGGCGAGGCCTCGACCCGAGTCCCCCCCACTCGGCCCCGGCAATGGAACGAGAACGATGTCACCTGCTTCTTCCGCTGCCGGGGACCCGAGTCCCCGTCCCGCCCGAGAAGACGCCCCCCGTCCTCCGATCCCGAGAGCCGGCCTCGAAATCCCCGGCCTCCTCCGGCGATCCTCCCGCCTCGGCCTCCCCTGGGGCCCAACGGTGGGTGACACAAGTGTGACGGGGCGGACTCGGGAAATTCGCGTGTTCGGGCGCGAACGTTCGAGAAGCCGCTGGGCCACAGCTTATAAAGCGGCGCCCCGAAAACCGAGGGTGGCGGGCGGGGCTGCCGTTGTCGGGCTTGGTCCTCGGGGTTCGGGACGTGCACGGCCGGCCGGGCGCGGAGGCTCAGGCCTGGCGTCCCGGCACTCTGGGAGGCCGAGGAGGGAGGATCGCTCAATGGAGGCCAGGAGTTGGAGGCCGGCCTGAGCAAGAGCGAGACCCCGTCTCTACTTAAAAAAAAA